TTCGTTATTGAAGCAAAATGCATTTTCGAAAAATATATATTATATATTTCTTGTCATTATTTCCTCCTACCATTATCTGAACAAGCCCAGTAAATATTACTAAGTATCATGATACTTGCAGATAATCAGAATGGTGCATATAGGATGAACAGGAATTACCCTGTTGCAAAACAAGAACAAAACAAATAATACAAATAAATGAATAATTAATTAAATGAATGAATAATTAAATAAATGAATGAATGAATAAATGAAAAGAATAAATAAATGAAACGAATAAGAATGTATGTATCTGTCTTTCAATAGGTACGCATGAACTTTTATTCCATTCGTTCCACATTTGATTCCAAATAAAGTGGGGGGGAAAAAAAAGAAAAAAAAATATTAACAATAATAATAATAATAATAAATAAATAAATAAAATAAATTAATAAATAAAATTAAATAAAATAAAGAAAATTAATAATAATAATAAAACTTCAAAAAAAAGAAAAGAAAAAAAAATACTAGAATGATAACACTAATAATAATGGCCATATAGTTTGCGTAGGCGTTGTGATGTGGAAAAAGTAAAATTTTATTTACTTGAGGGAGGGTATGTAAACAAAATAAAAACTGACTTTTGTTTCTTCTTCTTCTCAGAAACAGCATGTTAATATTATCATGACTTTGTAATTTGCTTCCAGTCGAAGACAAATAAACTATGTGTAATAGGTAAGTGTACTTCTTGTTTATTCATTTTGTGTTTCCATTAGTACATGTATGTAATAGAGGCATCTTTTCTAAAAATGTTGGTAGCCCTGAAAAGGGCTTTTGTAATTGGTTTAAGACAATTGGCAGCCTACGCCTTGGTGGCTTTCTTTGGGGTTTTTGACTTCTTGGCTGTGGCTTTCTTGGGCGCTTTGGTTTTCGTAGGCTTTGGAGCTGCCTTGGCTTTCTTGGGAGACTTAGTAGCTGCTTTCTTCTTGGGAGACTCGGCCTTCTTGGGTGCTGCAGGTTTCTTAACAGCCTTTTTCTTTTCTGTTGGCTTTTTCTCCCCGGTTGTCTTCTTGGGTTTGGTCGTTTTCTTGGGCTTGGCAGCCTTAGGTTTGGTGACTTTTTTGGTCTTGGGTTTCTTCTCCGTCTTGGGCTTCTCTCCCAGCTTGAAGGAACCACTGGCACCTGTACCCTTGGCCTGTTTGAGAACTCCCTTCTTGACTCCGTTCTTGAGGGCCATCTTCAGATGGGTGTTGACACTAGAGGCGTCATTACCGACTTTGTAGTTGCCCATGATGTACTTGAGAATAGCTTGTCTCGAGGAACCTCCGCGCTCCTTCAGGGCAGCCACAGCAGCGCTGATCATCTCGATGTACTTGGGATGGGCGGGGACCGTCTTGGGTTTGGAAACCTTCTTCTTGGCGGGGGATTTTGCTGGTGCGGCGTCTGCCATAATTTTTTTGTCCTGTTTTCTACAACTGATGTGAACGACGTTATCGACGATAAGGAAATGAATGAAATCACCTCCGCCGATGGCCTTATTTGAGTGGCGGCGAGCGCGGACCTCCGTGAAAACTCCCCAATTGTCGACAGCGTAGAGGATTGAACTCGTCCAACTTTGTGTTTCAATACCTGTAATTTTTCCGATATTGTCCTCCCAATTTTACTTAATTTTCTCAAATATGTCACTGTGCGTTTTCTTGAAATATTTTCCTACATAACTGTTTCCGTTAAGGTTCTTAATCTGTCATTTTAAAGGAGGAATTGTCTGTTGATTCTGAAAATGCGCTGTCCCTGGAGCCCAGAAGCGACTAATTTTGATTAAAACACGAAAACAAGAGGAATAGAACACGAGTAAGGGATTGAAGTACTTACTACATTGCTATGCGATAAAACATACATGTACATTTCTTTCAATTGTCTTATATGTTTACTTAAAATCCGAATGAAAATGCAAACATTCGGCACAAACACGCGCACAATGGATAGTGATGTGTGCCCTTGCATTTCATATGAAATGGAGAGAAAAAAACAAAACAAAAAACAAAACAACAAAAAAAAAAACAAACAAACAAACAAACAAAAGGGTCATATGAAGAGAAATCACGGAATCTCACAAATTGTTGAATGTTCAAATATATATCTAATATACTTTCTAGATCAGTGGATGTTCACCCCCTTAAAGGGACAACATATAATTTCTTTTCGAATATTTAAATACATGACACCTACTTTATAATTATAACACCGAGGACACCGGGAAGATCCAGACCGTACGTAACGTACCACATTCGGTGGTACAACGTCTGAATTTCTCAGTATAATTATATCATAAGAATATACATAACTGACATCCTTGTAAATTACATGAAAAAAAAAAAAATCACATAAAAAGGGCGTGTATTTAATAATTGTAGAACACTCACTTAATTAGTAGTTATACATAAGAGAGAGACAGAGAGAGACGAACAAGGCGAATCATGGGAGTAGCTTATTCATTGATATTAATTTGTTTCTTGTAATTTACACACACAAATAATTGAGTACATGTAAATAAACAGAATGTGGTCAAAAGCCAATGTATTTAAAATCTATATCTTTCAAGTTGAACAAGACAACCAGTATATAATACAAGACAATACAATACATTGATACAAGCATCAAATTGGTTGCACACTTTCCACGTGCAGATCATGATTCCCTGCATCTATATGTCACGTGACGATGCAGATGTGCTGCACGGCGCAGTGATGGACATCGCAATAAATGTAAAGTGTTAAAAAAAATGTCGTTTAGTCATTCGCATCGGTAGTCTATTCGAAAGAAAATTTACTACCAGTGTTTAATTGTGTTAGTACTGTAAGTATCCGGAAACTGGCATCGAGTTGCTTTTATTCACTCTTATTATGGGAAGCACACTTTTTTGAATAAGAACATTCAAGACATAATATAAACCACATCTTCTTATTCTTATGAGATTCTTATATTCATCACTTTTATCTATTTTATCAATTAGGAATTTTGTCTAAATAATCATCATATAAAACAATAGCGAGGGGGAAAAAAAAAAAGAAGAAGAAACATTAAGGATTTAACTGGAGTTACAGATCTTTTGAATATGTTAATAAAATAATGATCATATTTAAAAATATTTGTATTAAAGGAAAAAATTGAAAGTTAGATCGCCATGTTAGATGATTTCCGCAGTTTCTAGTCTTAATTGGTCAATGAAATGGGTTTTTTTTTTCTTTTCTTATCTCTTTGTTGAGTGAGCATTCAAGTAATAAGTGAGAATTCAACATTTGTACGCAGGCCTATAAGGTTTGGATTCAACTGCCTATAAACGAGAAAGAAAAACGTACATATACGAATATACATGCGAGTCAATTTTTAAATTTATTGCTTTTTGTTATTGACTTAATACATTTATTTATCATTAAATATATAACACTTTCTTTGATGTTTGATCTCTGTTCTGTGTTGAAAATTATTGAATTCGTGTGTTTCTATTATTTTCTAGCTATAATAATTGTTTACGTTTTCAACTCGTTTGTAATGTAGGTATCTTTTCGAAAAGCTTATGTGGCCGTGAAAACGGGCCGTTTGGTTTTGTGCTGCACACAACACAACTATAGGATCTTTTTACTTGGCGGCTTTCTGTGTCTTTTTGGGAAGGAGCACCGCTTGGATGTTGGGCAGGACACCACCCTGCGCGATGGTCACGCCGGACAGGAGTTTGTTCAATTCTTCGTCGTTGCGGATGCCCAGCTGCAGATGACGGGAATGATTCTGGTCTTTTTGTTGTCGCGGGCAGCGTTGCCTGCCAACTCCAAGACTTCTGCGGCCAAGTACTCAAGAACGGCAGCCAAGTACACGGGAGCGCCTGCTCCCACTCTCTCGGCGTAGTTGCCCTTTCTCAGCAGACGGTGAATACGACCCACGGGGAACTGCAGTCCGGCGCGGGAAGAACGGCTCTTGGCCTTCCCCTTCACTTTGCCTCCTTTGCCACGTCCAGACATTCTTAACGGTTATGTTCTTTCGTGTACAGTCAACGAATAATCCAGCGACGCCCGCACGCACCAATTTAAACAACCAAGCGGATCCAACGGTGCAGCCAATTAACGCGTCGCTCTGTTGTGCCTTTAGGTGAAATCCGAACAAGTAATGTTTTCTCGGAGGTCCGTAACAAGCTTCTCCTCCTACTCGCATATAAATAGTAAATTTTACCATTTCACTTTATTCATCTCTTCAGTTTGACCTGTCAACTTGAGATCATGCCACCCAAAGTCGGATCCAAAGGCGCCAAGAAAGCAGTCACCAAGGCCAAGACACCGAGGAGCACAGACAAGAAAAGGAGGAAGAGGAGGAGGGAATCTTATGCCATTTACATCTACAAAGTCCTAAAGCAGGTGCACCCTGACACTGGTGTTTCCAGCAAGGCCATGAGCATAATGAACTCCTTCGTCAACGATATCTTTGAGAGAATCGCTGCCGAAGCCTCTCGTTTGGCCCACTACAACAAGCGATCTACAATCACAAGCAGAGAGGTCCAGACTGCTGTCCGTCTCCTTCTGCCCGGTGAACTGGCCAAGCACGCCGTATCTGAGGGCACCAAAGCCGTCACCAAGTACACCAGCAGCAAATAATCTCATTTTGCAAGTACACACACCAAACGGCCCTTTTAAGGGCCAACTAATTTTTTAGAAAAGATACCTTCATATTACATGCGTTATTGAGACACAAATAATATGTACGAGTGTTACAATGTGAATGCATGTGCTCGTAAAAGTGGCAAACGTATAAAAATCCCACATTGTTTACAACTGATTATAATAACAGAAGTAGGATAAATAAAGAAATACAAGTAGGTATTATTATATGAATGAGAGCCAAATTTTATTCACAAATAACTTGAATGTACAACCAAGCATATATCTGAAATAACTGTATCTTCAAATATAAATAAAATACAAGCATGCGAGGTCCATCTGATGTACACAAAATCCTGGTTCATTTGTCCTCTGTATACTGAATTAATTATCAGCGTACATTATATAATTGATAATAAAGTATCTCAATTCAGCTAATATCAATGAAACAGATAAATAAATTCAAGACCCCCCCCCTCCCCTTTCTTTGACATTGACATATTGGAATTTTCAATCAGTAATTATACATCAATAAAAGTGCAATGACCAAAATGCGATAATTATACATTGACAATTAATTGTCTAACATTAGTCATAATTGTTAAACAAGAAAAAAAAGCATGTCACTCAGCGCCAGTTGGTACCTGTCATTGTCGGTAGATCGATCCCTCAAAATAATACTCAAGACAGCAGCATTATTATTTTAATATATGATTATAATAATAAAAAAAAATTAAATAATATATACTGTTTGTGTGTGTTTATTCAATATTTCTTGTCCAAACCTAAATTCAATACATATTTGTTGCTCTGTATATAGTTTTGAGGAAATATTACGACATAAAGGGTCTTACTCTGTTATTGTTGTGTATTTATTTTACCACTTACAACCATTCTGTATTCAACTTTGTACAGTGAATATCTGTATAACAAGTACTCAGTAAGTAAATGTCTGTCTTAACGATGTTTTAGAGGCATCTTTTCGAAAAATTTGGGTGGCCGTGATAACGGCCGTTTGTGTTTGTTTTAAACTTCTGTCTTGACTGTCAAACTGAATTCTTTAGCCTCCAAATCCGTACAGGGTGCGTCCTTGGCGTTTCAAGGCGTAGACCACGTCCATAGCTGTGACGGTCTTTCTCTTGGCATGCTCCGTGTAGGTTACAGCATCTCGGATCACGTTCTCCAAGAAAACCTTAAGAACTCCACGAGTTTCCTCGTAGATGAGACCGGAAATACGTTTGACACCACCACGGCGAGCAAGACGGCGTATGGCTGGCTTGGTGATACCCTGGATGTTGTCTCTCAAGACTTTTCTGTGTCGCTTAGCGCCTCCTTTTCCAAGACCTTTTCCTCCTTTGCCACGTCCAGACATGTTATAAGTTCAGTCAGTAGTACTGTTCTGATGAACTGATCATGCGTAATTGCCTAATTTATAGTCCAAATTGAGGACCCGTGAGAGCGCACGATGCTTTGAAAAGTTCGGAACGTTACCAAAGCGGTATTGTGACAAGCTTTACGATTGGTCAGCTTGGCATGATGGGAATGTTTACATTTCTTGCCCCACAGGAATTTTAACCACATTTAATTAATTTTGATTCTTTAATTTCTTCACATATAGGCAAGTTTATGTTCAATTTATTCACCTAAACCAAAATATTGGTACGTGGAGGTACATATATACATTTTATACAAACTGGTATACAAAACAACAACAAAAAAAAAAAAAAAAAAAACATGACAGAAAATGAATAAAAATGATAAAGAGAGAGAGGGGAATTATATCAAGCAGGACAGACAGCATCATAATTTTTTAGGATAAACATACACAATTTTTTGTTTTGTTGTTGTTATTTTTTTTATTTCAGTATTTTTTGCTTTGAGTTTAACAAAATAAATACCGTTGTTGCCGAATGATAATTAAAACGTGGGTGGGTGGGTGGGGATTAAGTTATTCAAAGGAAAGGGGTGTGACAGATAACACCGAAATAATACAAAATGTAGAAGCTGAATGAAACTTTTGATTCTCATTCATTTATGATATCTAGTTATAGATGTGATCATTTATTTGATTTCCTCTTTTCTCAGTTAATTTTCAAAGGCAACTTTAAGCAGTGACCAAACCGGCTTTATAAATGAGCCTTTTTCATTTTATTACACGCCACGTTAGAACGAATATCGTTATATTTGACGTTGTTTAGAAATCAATAAAAATCATACTTTGAATATAAATGAAATACGGAATTGCAGTTCTGAAATGCATGTACTCGCATATGTGCATAGCTGTAGAACTAATGAGATAAAGTTGTAATACTGTTATTATTTTTTGCTTCGACACATTCCATCATATTCTATTTAAATAATTGTGCTATTTTCTAATTTATTTCGCAAAATTCTTGAATGTATTCTAGAGGGGCAGGTTGATGGACTTGTACAAAATATAGTTTCAAGATGTGTAGACAACTTCTACAACAAATTGATGATGACAATAGTACTATGAAATTGTCTAGCATTGTGCTCTTTCATAATTTATGTAATTATATATATGCAAGGCACAGATATATTCACTGAAGGATGTATTGTGTCTCAACATTTTTTTTTTTTTTTTTTTTTTCCAATTTGGGGGCATTGTTCGCTGAATTTGATAAAATTTATTAATTTCGGCCAAATAATTCAACATTATTTTCAGAGATGTTTCAACGTCTGAACAGAAGGCATCTTTTCGAAGAATGTAGGTGGCCGTGAAAACGGCCGTTTGCTTTAGGACTTGAAATACAGCTTAAAATTAAGCACGCTCTCCACGAATACGTCTGGCCAGCTGGATGTCTTTGGGCATGATGGTTACTCTCTTGGCGTGAATGGCGCACAGGTTGGTGTCCTCAAAGAGACCAACAAGGTAAGCTTCGCTTGCTTCCTGTAAAGCCATGACAGCTGAACTCTGGAAACGCAAGTCGGTCTTAAAATCCTGAGCGATTTCCCGGACCAAGCGCTGGAATGGCAGCTTCCTGATGAGAAGCTCAGTGCTCTTCTGGTATCTCCGAATTTCACGGAGGGCGACAGTTCCTGGCCTGTATCTATGCGGTTTCTTAACGCCACCCGTGGCTGGTGCGCTTTTACGAGCAGCTTTGGTAGCGAGCTGTTTTCTGGGGGCCTTGCCTCCTGTAGATTTTCGTGCCGTCTGCTTGGTACGTGCCATGCTATCTCCTCAGATTATTCAAACTCGAATGAATGAAGTGGCAGTGTTGCGCCGTGAACTTATATATCTTTGTAAGCTCAAGTTGAAAATCGCTGCGGTCTACCAGTCGGCTTAGTCGATTGGCTGGTGCCCGCAGTAACACTCGCTACGATTAGTCAGGTGAACGAGATGACCATTGGCTACGTCTGTAGGTAGTTTCAATCCACAGAATTGCCCCAAAAGAAAAAGAAAATCAAGTCGGTTTTTGACACATGATTTCACTGCAGATACATATAGTCAAATATTTTTTTTTTAAATATATATATGGTGAATAATGGGGATGAATGTAACGTCAATTGAATAGAAAATAGAATTATTTATTATATATATATACATATATTTTCAATTCGTTATTGAAGCAAAATGCATTTTCGAAAAATATATATTATATATTTCTTGTCATTATTTCCTCCTACCATTATCTGAACAAGCCCAGTAATATTACTAAGTATCATGATACTTGCAGATAATCAGAATGGTGCATATAGGATGAACAGGAATTACCCTGTTGCAAAAACAAGAACAAAACAAATAATACAAATAAATGAATAATTAATTAAATGAATGAATAATTAAATAAATGAATGAATGAATAAATGAAAAGAATAAATAAATGAAACGAATAAGAATGTATGTATCTGTCTTTCAATAGGTACGCATGAACTTTTATTCCATTCGTTCCACATTTGATTCCAAATAAAGTGGGGGGGGGAAAAAAAGAAAAAAAAATATTAACAATAATAATAATAATAATAAATAAATAAATAAAATAAATTAATAAATAAAATTAAATAAAATAAAGAAAATTAATAATAATAATAAAACTTCAAAAAAAAGAAAAGAAAAAAAAATACTAGAATGATAACACTAATAATAATGGCCATATAGTTTGCGTAGGCGTTGTGATGTGGAAAAAGTAAAATTTTATTTACTTGAGGGAGGGTATGTAAACAAAATAAAAACTGACTTTTGTTTCTTCTTCTTCTCAGAAACAGCATGTTAATATTATCATGACTTTGTAATTTGCTTCCAGTCGAAGACAAATAAACTATGTGTAATAGGTAAGTGTACTTCTTGTTTATTCATTTTGTGTTTCCATTAGTACATGTATGTAATAGAGGCATCTTTTCTAAAAATG